CAACAGCAGTATGGGATGGGGCAAAACTCACAGTGGGAAGGTGGATAATGGTCCTCGTTCCTGATGATGTCACCCGTGAGTGCTGTGATGGTGGTGAAGAGTCTGCTCTTCTCTTCTACGGGAGAAACATGTCCCAGGTTTCTCTAGTCTGCTATCTTCCCTCAGTCCAGACATATATATATATATATATATATAGTTTTATTTTATTTTATGGTGGTAAAATGTATATAACATAAGGATTGCCATTTTAAGCATTTTTAAACAGACATTTGCATGGAATTGATTATATTTCCAATGCTGTGTGACCACCACCTCTTATCTATTTCCAAAACTTTTTCATCATCCTAAGTATAAACTCTATACCCATTAAGCAGTAACTTCTCTTTATTCCTTGCCCTTAGTTTCTGGTAACCTCTAATCTACTTCTATCCCTGAAATTTCTTTTTTCTTTTTAATTTATTTTTTCTTAATTGACTCATGATAATTTTATGCAGTTATAGAGTATTTAGCATATCTATCACCTCAAACGTTGTTACCTCTTTGTGTTGAGAGGATTCAAAATTCTCTCAGCTGTCTACTTGAAATTGTACAGTTATTTGTTGTTGACTGTAGTCTCCTTATATTGCTTGCTATGTAGCACTAGATCTTATTCTTCCTATCTCTCTACAGTTTTGTATCCATTGGCCACCATTTTACAGATTGGCTAGGCATGCCTCAGTTTTCTAAATTTATAAAGAAGGTTAAAACCAAATTATTATTTTTATTTTGGTCTAGAAGCCAGTCCAATTCAATACATATTTATCAAATTTGCAGTATTATATCCTCAACTTTTGTCTGTGTATTCTGATTGTTTTTTACTCCTCACAGAATGACTTCTCCCCGTTTCATTGAATTTGTCTGCAAACATGATGAGGTTTTAAAGTGCTTTGTTAACAGGTAGGCTTTCTGGGATTTATGGACTACTCTGGTAGCCCTTCTTCTCTTTACTTATAGTTTCATCTCATAGAAAAAATGTTATTTCCATTACTATTCAAAATATGCTCAATAACAAGTGTAGTAGGTATGGATTAGTATGTGTTTTTCTTCCATTTCAGTATCTATTTTAATTTGCATTTTATTTAATGCTACTCATCCTTCCCATCCATTTAAACAAAATATATTTTTCTTTTAGAAATCCCAAAATTATATTTGACCACTTTCACTTTCTCCTTGAATGTCCTGAGTTGATGTCAAGATTCATGCATATCATAAAAGCACAGGTAAGAAATTTTTCATCTTGTTTTTAGTGTATCTAATGAAATTTTTAAATGTGAATATTGTTTAGTGGCATAATTATTATACTTAAGACCTTCTTTTCTAAGAGGAATGAAATTACTTGTTATTTATATAGGAAGAATAAATTTTCTTCTTTAAGAAATGTGTATTGAGTGCCTACTATGTGAAAAGGCCTGTGCAAAGACATCAGAACACATTGCCCCATTTCCTGAAATAAGTTTCTCAGTAAAACTAGTCCTATAAGGCTGATGGTCCTCGAGAAAAGAATTTTGTCTCTAAGTACATTTGGGAAATACGCATAGGGCCTTGAAAATTATAAAGCACATCAGCAGCATGTTAAAGGCTTTGGGAAGCCCTTTGGTAAAAATAGTGATTTAACTTTGTTAATCTTCCAAACTTATTTGATCTGAGAACCTTTCACCTAAGAGTTCCCCTACTTGTTCATTCCACATATCTCACGTTTCATGAAACTTGCTAGGGAAAAGCTTGTTTTGCTACTTACCAGCTGTGTGACTTTGGGCACATTTCTTTTTTTTTTTTTTTCTTTTTGTCTTTTTTCGTGACTGGTAACGGGATCGCAACCCTTGGCGTTGCGCCCGCACCGCGCTCAACCAGTGAGCGGACCGGTCTCCATATGGGATCTGAACCCTCGGCGGGAGCACCACCACACTCCCAAGCGCCACACTCTACTGAGTGCACCACCGGGCCGGCCCAGGGCACATTTCTTAACATCCTTGAACTTAGGTTTCTTTATCTATAAAATAGAGATAATGACACCAACCTCATAGAACTATCATGAAGAATGAACTGTAAAGAGTGACTGGTATGTATGCTTAATAAATGATAGTTGTTCTGGAGATAGAAAGCACATTTTCTTTCTCCAAGAGGATCTTAATTCAGTCTAGCAAGGGAGATATATATATATGTATATATAATATATATAATATATTACTATAAAATAGTAATTACATTATTACCTAATCTTTACCAGTTTAAGGGAGGAAGAGCTTGCTTTTGGTTGCTGTAGTCAAGGGAAATTTCAAAGAGGAGGTACATTTTATGCTACTGTGAAAAGTTTGAAAAACATGCAAAATTTTGATTGAAAATTGTATAAAACTATAGTGGTTGCAGCATAGATTTTGTGTAGGTGAAGGAGTAAGATATAATTCTTGAAAGGTAGATTGGGGTTATACTGTGTTCAGCCTTGATTGCCAGATTGAAGAACCTTCTTTGTTTGCTATCAGTGGCCACTGATAATTTTGCTTCAGGAGAATGACATAATACTGGCAAAGTTTTAGAAAATAATTTGTCAGATATGTAGTAAGATAGACTGGAGGCTATGGTTTGGTAAATAGTCATAAGATAATAAATACCATAGGTAGTTTTTAATATCTTTAGGGACAATGACCCTTTAGAAGTTAAAAACGCTGACAACTAGGCACATGTATATAGGGATCTTCTGACACTTGTTTAATAATGATAGTTTAAAAGAGAGTGTAGTAATAATAACTTATATTTATTGAATGCGAGTTTTAGGTCAGGTACTATATTATTTGCTTTACATGAATTTTAAGATTTTCATAACATTTTTGTGAGATGGGTATTTTTTCACTGAAGCTGAAGGGGTTAAGTAACTTAAGTCATTTAGCTACTAAGTGGGAGAACCACAATTTAAAATTCTGTCTCGTTTTTAAGTTCATTTTCTTAACCTACACTATATGACTCTGTTCTAGGGCAAATGAGATAATAGGTGAAAGAAGCTTTTAGTTTTTTAAAAAGTTTGTTATTTTTAATATTGTCTGTACTTTTCACTTCCCTTTTACTCTTCCCTTCCTGAACAATTCATTCTGAAGGCATCTACGTTAGGTATCCACCACGCTGACCCAGAGGGGGGTTTTGTTACCTGATCAGGATGAGGAGTGTGTCCACATGCCTTGTGGTAGCCCACTGTGGGATTTTGGAGTTTGGGTGTGGTAAGGAGGGTGTCTGTGTAGAAGAGAGGCCTAGCATGGGTATGTGAGTTGGAGTGGCAGGAAGAGGATGTTCATGTGGAGGGTGGTGGCAGCTGCTCAGTTGTTTGATGGAGCTTTGTGGGGTAGAGCTCATCCATGCAGCAAAGGGGACATGTCAGCAACAGGAGATTGGTTACATTTGAGGGTAGTGAAGATTGATCAAATAAGTAAGTATGGGAGCCTCATTTCTCACTGTTGGAGAAAGGAGCTACAAAATGGTGGCAACTGGAATGAACTGTATGCTGTTGGCTTTGAATTGGAGATAGCATTGTGAACTTATAGTTTTCAGTCTATACATACGGATATAGCAAACCTGGCACCCAGCTCTCTGTCTCTAAATCCATTCTCAGTGAATCAGGGCTCATTGGAGAAGTGGTTAATTCCAGGGCTAGGTCAGTACAAGATCAGCCTGGAAAATTTTGTTATGCTAGAAAATAAAGAAGTATTCAAAGAATGATGGGGTTATGTCAAAATGACTTAAGTAGCTGGTATGGACTCCCACTGGCCAAGTCTGGAATAGTTTGAACATCAAAATAAATACTTATGGCAACATATTATAAGTAAGATAGGAACTTATGAGTTTATACTGGAAAAATTAATGAATAAATGGAAAATTTGATAAGGGGTGGGATATTTACACAGTCTCAAAGTATCTCCCCACAGAATACTTACTAATTACAAAGGGAAAAGGGGGCTTTATTGTGGAGAAGCTTGACAGTGATCAAAGCAGACATACCAGTGTGCTGATAGGATGCACTGAGAAGAACCTGCTGGCCTCACTTCTGTGATATTCCTGCCAAAGAAATTGAGGGATATTCTACAAAATTAACTGACTTGCAATATTTAAAAGTATCAAGGTCATGAAAATTAAGAAAACATTGAACTGTACCAGAGTGAAGGAGATTGAAAGGGACAGAACAATTAAATGTAGTTCGTGAATCATTTTGCTTTAAAAGACATTATTGGGAAATTAGCAAAACTTGAAATGGGGTCTAAGGATTAGATGTAGTAATGTATTAGTGTTAATTTTCTGATTTTGATGCTTTGTATCTGGTTTTGTAGAATTCCCTTGTCTGTAGGAAATACACACCAAAGTATTTATGGGTGACTGGACATCATATTGTCAATTTACTCTCACATCAGGAAAAAATGCTTTGTACTCTACTGTACTTCGAAATTTTCTGTTACTTCTAGACTGTTCCCCCACTAAAAAGTTAAAAAAAACTACCTCTGCTAAGGGATTGACTACTTCTGTTGGTGGTTTTCAGGTGGCCAGTAGTTAAAGGGAGAGACATTTTGTATTGCTGTACAAATGCTATTAAAAGGAGCCTCTGTAATCAGTTCTGTTTTGTGAATTATTTATGGAAATGCAGGTACTCAGAAAGTTTACATACAAAAATGTGCCCTTTGGCTGTGTAGGTCTGTGTGTGTGTGTGTGTGTGTGTGTGTGTTTTAGTCTTTTAGATATCTTAATTAGCTTTGAAGTTAGCAGTTTTTAACTTTTTAATGTTCCATTTGAATTACTTTTAAAAATTGCCATTTGTGTTTCTTGGTTCATATTTTATAGATGAAGGACATAGTTGTTTAATATCTTAATAGCAAGTAAGTTGTCATTTTAAATAGTTATTGACAGTAATTTTAACATTGTGAGTGATAATAAGAACACCACCTATTAGTTGAGTGTTGAGGGTGTTGAGTATTTTCACAAGTTACTTAACCTCTTAGTGCTGCATTTTTTTCTTCTGTAAAATGGGGTAAGAGTTTCTTTTTCTCATGTTGTGAGGGTTGCATGTGGTAATGCATGTAATATGCTTAAAACAGTACCTGGCTTATAGGTGCTTAATAAGCATTAGCTAACTTATGATTATAGTTATGATTATTATGTTCTATATTTGCATTATTTCATTTAATCCTCACAATTAGTCCTTGAAGTAGGTATTATTTTCTCTGTTTTACAGGTGAGAAAACTAAAGCTCTGAGAGGATTAGTAATTTACCCTAAGATCACAAACCTTGTAAGTGACGGAACCAGGATTTCAAACCATGTTTATCTGACTTCAGAGCCCATACTTAAATACATTGCTTCTGTGTAATGGTTTCTTCTCTCCTCTTTTACCAAAGTTTTAGAAATAATCAGCATTAAAATTTCAAGTACTTTGTATTCCAGCCTATTTACTAAAAATGAAATATTTAGTTTATATGCACAGTAGTGTATGTAATAATGTATAATAACAGCAGTGCTGTTATTCAAAACGTGGAAGACTGCTAGATGTATGGACAAAATTACAAACTTTTGAAAAGGGAATATTTACTCTTTCTGAAAGAGCAGATATTAAAAGTCAGAAGTTAATCTCTCACCAGTTATCTTAATTAATAATATTTTTATTAACAATTAATAAAAAAACAATATTTAAGTGTTTTAAAGCAAAACTAATATTAAGTTTAGCTCAGACAAAATTTATTGGTGTCCTGAAAACTTCCTGAAAGATAACTTCTTTGTGGTGTTGGATGGTATTGAGCTTGTTTATCTTTTGATGATTTTAGCTTTTGTGGTACTGCACCATCTTGGTTCTCCTTTGACTTTTCTAGCTGTGTATATCATTTGCTAAGCAAATTCCTAATTCTGACCTGTGATCATAACTTTTTCATTCTTGGTGTTTGTTTCTGTATCTTTAATCTCTTGAACAAGGGAGTTTATCATGTCTCCAACTTCAACTTTGTTCGTGGCTTTGTTTCCCTTGTCTCAGCTGTAGCACAGTCTAGTATTTATTTTCAAGCCCCTCGTAGTTATATCCCACAATAACTTTATATTCATGATATATAAAATCTTATTCAATATTGCTCCACTAGTGCCTTCTAGGAGTGTGGGGTAAGTGGGGGGGGGGGGGGGGTGTTATTCCTTC